ATTCCTGCTTTCTGCTTTCCTACAAAGCCTGACTTTGCCCAGGAACCCACCCTCCTTCAGCCCCAGCTGTCGCCCAAACGCTCGAGGTGGTCCTGTTTCCTCAGGGGTCAGCCTGTGCCCAGTGCAGTCAAGAAGACACGGAAAGGAGCTGTCCTGGGAAAAGTTTTCTCTGATTTTAAAAACAGATGCACTGGGAAAAGTAGCTCCTCATTTCTGTTATTGGGATCTCATCTGGACACTATTCGTGGGGCTGTGGCAGCCGTTTTGGAGCCATGAGGAAGCCAGCCAGGACCGAGCCACCACGTGGAGGGCCAGAGCAGAGGGAGCTAGGAAAGAGCCTGGGTCCTTACAGTCAGGCCACAGTCGGCCACCCCTGCTGCAGCACCTGGCGCTTCCTCGCCTCTGCATTCCTCGTCAGGTAAGAGACGGTGGGTCTGCTTTGAGTGCCACCCCTGTCACCCTCACTGGGAGGGCAGGGAAGACACAAGGAGCTGTGGGGTACTCACGGCCAGGCTAGTCTGCTATCGGTGTCCTCTCGGTGCTGCTGCTCTGGGGAGCTCAGGGACAGGGACACCTACCTCCCCACGTGGAGTTCCCCCATCTCGGGCCAGGTCCTGCAGGCCTCCTGTGCCTCAGCCCCATGGGGAAGGCGACTGTCCTGGCGGGCTGCAGTGGTGGGGACTCCAACCTCTGCTTGGTGTCCACCACGGAAACGTCTCTCTCCCTGGAACCCTGTGGGTGCGAGGTTCTCTTCTGAGTCAGGTGCTCAGTAAGGCCCCAGCCCAGCCCCCCTCCGCCTTCCAGAAATTTCTCTGCTTTTTCACGTCTCCTTTCATCCAGGCTCTGTCTGAGGCCCAGACAGAAGGAAGGGGCGGGCGGTGTCACGACTGCCCCCGGCACCACTTCTCTCCCTCTTCCTGGGTCCCCCGAGGTTTCCTTTGTCCACGGTACAGGGCAGGAGCTGAGTCCTCACCGGCTTCATGCCCAGGAGGAAATGACCTCACCCCGTCCCGCCCTGACCCAGGAGGCGGGCGCTGGGGCTGAATGAGGCACCCACAGACCTGCCTGCTGGTGGTCTGTGCCAACAAGGCTCCCTGGGACTGAGTGTGCCCTGGCAGCCAAGAAGGCCTGGCTTAGAGAGTCAGCAGGGACCGGGGAGCCCCCGCTCAGCCCAAGGCAGGGCCTGGCCACTGCCCCTGGGACAGACGCTCCCGTACGAACCCCGGCATTGTGTCCCGAGGCCTTTAGAGTTGTGGATGCCGGGATCCTCACACTGCCACGTTCGCTCGGTAACAGAACTGCCGGGCCAGCTCCCCGTGCCGCAGCACCTGGGTCCCACTGCCACATGCAGCGGCAGCTCGAGTCACAGAACCCAAGGCCAAGATTAAATCTGCATGCAAGTGTGCGAGGTGTGTGCGTGAGTGCAAAGTTACGTCAGTGTGTGAGCATTTGTGTGTGGATGTGTGTGTGTGTGTTTGGAGAGGTTTTTGCTATAGGGCACATGCGCTCGCCAGAAAGACAGAGAGAGAGAGAGAGA